AGGTATTTGTGAGAGACTCACAGTGAGCATTGAATCTTGTTGCTTTACCGCATTTTAATACTGTAGTGGGCATACACCTGTAATTCTCTGTAATTAAATCCCGAAAACCAATAAAAGGTTTCGTTTGATTATTTTTTTTGGCAAACCCAGTGGAGATTTTAGGGTAATAATATTGATCATTAAGACGATGTCCAAAAGGCAAGTTTTAATTTTGGCAGTGGGTCACTGTTGGGTGTTTGGTGTAAATTAGTGCAGTTTGTGGTATACTGTGTGTGGTTTGTCATGATGTCAGATAGTATTGAAAAAAATTCAGCTGTTTTTGAGGAGGGACATGTCTTGCAGCTTATGGTTTTTTTCTGGCCACTCAAGCCGCTTGGCCAGTATGCAGGTGAAGATCTCTTGAAACCCTTTTCCAAAACAAAACTCCGGACTTAAGCTTAAAATATATAATATACAGATTTAGCCAGGGCTAAAAGCGAAGCTCTCGTTAATAAAACGTGTAACCAAAAAATTACATCATGTAATGCTAAACGGAGACGACAATGAAAATGGCTTCAAGACTAAATCTAATGAGCAAAAAAACAACTAATTAGCAAAAAACAAATGTGCACGTGTAGCACGCTTTTTTGTCTTTCCCTTGCCGTTGTTTTGCACGACTACAACGCCGTTTTGTACGACTAAAGCGTCAAACTTCCTAGTTACACATTATTTTTATGGAGGAATTGTCGTATGTGCTTACCCAATATTTTGTTTCCTGTGTTCATGTTCGCTTTTATTTTTCACTGCTGCTCATTTTCACCTTGCTGGCCGCTAGCATTTCTCATTTTCTTACCGCCGCTTTGAATTTCCATGTTTTTCCTCCTAAGAAATTCGTCTCGTGTGTTTTCAATAACTCGCTCTAGCTCTTTCTCTGTTATCCACGTTAGTGTAAACATAAAAAAAACCCCGAAAAATACACGACTTTGTTGTTGTTTTTTCTTTCTAAAAGTCCGGGCGGCCATGTGATTTCCTTCCAAATAAAACCTGGAGTTGCATTTGGGTTGCCATACCTGTTGATTGAGTTATTTTACATTGGTATACCTGTGGTGCAGACGGACGGTCGGGCGGGCGGTGTACGGTCACGTGATTACCAATTTTTCTCGGATGGGTAGATTACCGTATTTCCTTAGCTATGGGGCTCCGCACACGCGCGGCGCTTCGCGCCTGGCGTAGAGCTCCGCTATTGACCACTCCAGAAAATACCATAACATGCCATAATGCTCTTTGTTTGTCACCCCAAAAAAGAGAAAATGAAAACAATGCTTATGCAAAATTTTGGGGTGACAAACAAAGAGCATTATGGTATGTTATGGTATTTTCTGGAGTGGTCAATTAATGTAAGTGCATGATCAGTGGGGACAGCATTAACAATGAACTGCAGTGCGAACGATTTAGGCTGAGTCTGGGCAGGGAGCGCTTGATGAATCCGGAATTTTTCTTCATTGCATCAGTAACTACAAGAAAGGATAAAGGGGCTAGCCTCTTTATCTTCTCTTGGTAACTATGAATAATTCTAGGGTTTCCCTTAACCTTAATTACGAATAAACATAATCTATAATCATAATCATTTCTCGCACGATTTCTCGATTTGCATGAACCCCAGTATAATTCTCAAGTTTTATCATGAGGAGATCAGACTGATACGATAAAACGTTGATCTTCTCAAAACATTATTTTTAATTTACCAAATATGACTTAGTTTATTAAATTTTTTTCTTTTGCAGAAAACGTTCCAGAATTCTTTTATTCTGTTAGAAAGAAATGAACGCCGCCTTTGAATAACTGTGAAGCTGCCTGTATTCCAGTTTGTATAATGAGTGACATCACAAACTTTTAGTCATGTTCATGTGTTAAGTTTGTCAGAAGATTAAGGACTGAAACATGCTTTTTCCATTAAAAACGATATTTTCCTTGTAGTTTATTTGACACTTTGAATAAATCGACCAAATGATGTGAATCTGAAACTCCTTATACTCCTTCTTGCATTATGTGCCGGTTCTGATCATCTTTTTTCTTTCAGTATAACAGTAATTATTTCTTGGTGTGATTTCTAATTTTAGTTTTAAATACCGCTGTATGGGGTATTTTGTAATCAAGTATCCTGTAAAGAAAACAAGCGTTTAAGACAAAACGAAAACAACGACAAAAAAAGCAAACAACCAAAAAAAAAAAAACCACAACTACATATAATAAAATCTGCAAAGCAGGAAATGTTAGTTCGGGACATTACCCTACCAAACTTACGTCCGATTAGACCAAAACGTCACAACGAAGACTCCACTGCCTTTGCTTTGGTGGCTGATTTTATCTATCAATAAATCATTTTTAAAATGTCCTAAAATTCTTGTGGAAATAATTAGTTCGTGAGAGCTCTCTTTGAGAACATCAACTTCAGTCCAGCTTGATTCTTAGGCGACATACTGCTCTCCTTTGAAGAAATGAGTTTGCCAAAATGCACTCTTAGCGACTTGTTACTACTTGGAATCTGATTATATATTTTTGTGTGCATCTTTTGTCTTTTTGCAATTTCCGATCCTTCCGGGAAAGACTTAATGAGACGTAACTTCACGAATTGAATGAAAAAGGCAAAAAGTCAATATCTCAAGAACACACTTTATTAAAATTTAACACTCTGTGAAAACTGCTTCCTCTTCGCAATGATCTTTTTTCAGTTGTGTAAAGAATGTCAATTTTAACGTCAAATTTCTCGTGGGAGAATCCCTTTTAAACCCCACGTGCCATCCCCAAAATTCATGCATTTGTTTCGAGTTTTTTTCGTTAGCAACTGAATTGGTGGATTTTAACGTTTGATTTTGTTGATAAAAAACGAAGGTGTGGTATTCTGATAACATCTGATAGGAAACCTCGTTGAAAATTTCAATTCTTTTACCTTTGAAAATGAAAAAAAAAGTGATGTCATAATATAAATTTTTTGTCTCAATACGAATTGGTACCAAACGAAAAACACTCAGGCACCAGTAACTATATCGTTAACTTTAAATGATGAATTATTGCGTGCCAAAACTAGCGTTTTCTCTTGCTTTTTTGGACCTTTTCAGTTTGGTCTAAATTAAGGTAACTCATGTCTTTATCATCTTGGAAACTTTCTTTGTATAAACGAGCCTTGTCATATTGAAAATGATCACGAGTTTCCTTACGGTGTTATAAAGCTCTTGCCAATTATAAAAATCTTTATTCAAATACATTCTCAGATGAGTGCTAAATCAATACCTTAAACTAGCCCTGACAACTTGTAAACTGACCGCATTGTCTTCACAAAATCGTGTCAAAATTTTTAATAAACTGTGTCCTTTCTCATAGCCCCTTCGATAATATGACAGAAAAGAATGGAATAAAAAATCCCCATTGGATGACAGACTAGGAGTTTAACCGGGCTTTCACCAAAATTAATTTTAAAATTCTGGAGTGAATTTACTATTAATGGAAATTTACCATTTACTGTAGAAATACTTCTCCCTTAGTCGAAATATTTAGGAAATTCCATACTTTTTGATTGGGGGCGTTGTAGTGATTTCTTAAGAAGTAAAGTTCGTTGTTTATTTTAAACTATCTTTTTCAGTGCGAAATATTGCGTTCTAACAAAGTTCGCTTTAAATAAAGTTTGGGATGGCAAGTGATTTGTGCCAAGCGCTAACTGAAAAATGTGCATTAGGGTCTTTTCCGGCGATCAACGGAAAATGTCGGATGAAAAAGACAGATTTATACATTACTAAGTTTTGTTGCCTTACTTCTGGTGTGAGTAATTTTCTTTTTTAAATAGGAGAGATTGGATCGGATGATATCGGCAATAAAGGCAATTTGAAAACAAATAGTGTGAATAAAGACGAAATTTAAATTGTTTCGGTGGAGTTAATAAGAATCGATCCTTCTGTAGTTGCACGAAAACTAAAACAGAGGATCATTACTTCTTAACCCGGTGTATTTTTAAGTAAAAACCAGTGGTACGTAGCGAAGTAAGGCAACTCAAGAAGTATTGTACTCGATCGTTATTGATCATCGTACAACTGGCATTAGAAATATGTCCAAGTGTAGTGTGTTCCATTTTTTCATTGGTAACTTGAGCAAGTCTTCTGGCTTGTATGACCAGTTTTTAGACAAATAAACTGGTCCATTCTCTTTTATTGATAAGCGAAGAAATTCATATAGCTTCGATATAACGGTCTTTTTCCGGCGAGGTCCAAATCTTGAAGCCATTTTTTTTTTCGCTTTTCTAAAATGTTAAAGTTATTTTTCAACTGCCATTACTGATGTTTAGCACCAACCTTTTACCTGCATTCAGTCAGATTCGGATAATTGGGCACATGAACGACAACATGCGTGGCTTTACCAAACCAGTACCCAAAGATAAACATTTGGCTAGTGTTGTAATTGTGACTGCCTTGGTCTTGAATAGTTGAGAGCAAATGCCGCTCAGTGAATTGTAGTAAAATAGAATCGTCAGTAAAAAATAAAATGGTAATCATTTGAAATGATGAAACAAACGCTGTGAAACTCACAGTTTACCGTAAAAGAATTCTTCCTGCTGTCGACTTGGCTTTTTACCAAGGAGTCACTCAGCCACCGCGGGTGCGACGCGATTCGCGCTTCTTTTCCCGCATGTCAGAAACATTTTGAACGTGTCGCGGAACTCGGAGTTCATGGAGGCATAGAGCAGAGGATTTAAAGCAGAGTTAAGTGTGGCGAATATCACTCCTCCAGCATAAACATAGGAATTGACGGTGTTGTTCAACGTGGTGTCAACAATCATGATTACAAACAGAGGTGCCCATGTGAAGATAAATGTGCCCAAAACCAGCGCCACCATCTTGGCAGCTTTCGTCTCTTTGATAATATTAAGTTTAGGATCATTTTGAGTACGAAATACGCTGTTGACAGCCGCAGCAATCCTCCGTTCGTGATGACAGGCTGTTTTAAATATCTTAATGTACGCCGCCAGGACGAAAATCGATGGAAAAAGAGCAACGACGCAGACGGTGATAATGTAGCCCTGGGCAAGATTTAGTGGCACTTGGCAAAACAGCCCGGAGGAATGCTTAGGCGGAATTACAGTACGCCATCCCATAAAAGGGATAAACCCAAAAATGGTTGAAAAAATCCATAAAAACGCGATGATTGGGAAAATCATTCTTTTCGTCATGACTGACTTGTAACGTAGAGGAATTACCACTGCCAGAAATCGATCGAACGTAACGGCGCCCAGATTCGCTACGGAGTTGAACATAAGAGTTATGGTCAAAGAGATCGTGACATGACAGTATGTGAGCCCGTTCTCAACAAATGGCCCCACTGTGTTTGACACAACAATCAGGGGAATTACAATAAGTCCAATCATGAGATCCCCAATGGCCAGGCTTGTAATAAACGCGCTTGTTTTCGTTTGAAGTCGCCTGTTACATATAACCGAAGCGATGACCAAAGAATTTCCCGCGACTATCACAACAGCCAAAAGAAGTACAATACAGCAAAGAAGAATCACATGAAATTCAGCCTTTTCTTCCCTCAAGATTTTTTCACTATTTGCGGTCGCATTTTCCATAACTAGATGTCTTGTGCTTTGTAAATCTTAAAATGCGAAAGCGACTTGGGAGAAATTCATTGAGCCAGTCCAAACTGTTTTGTGAGTCTATACGGGTTTGCTGAGATTATGTACATATTCGGCGAAAATGTAAGTCTTATACCCTAATAGTGACTCTCTTCAGAAATCAGTGCAGCTGTTTAAACAAAACGCTTTTATGATCTTGAAAGATGCATATTTCTCAAACGATTGTGCCTACCCGCGGCTACAGGTTTTCTCAGTTGAAATACAGTTTTTTAATTTTCTCGGTTCATATGTCCTGTGCCATTAATCCGACTAAACCAAAGTTGAGGTTTCTTATTTCTACAGTCAGAAATAAATTCAATGTCTAATACCCAAAGAGTTGATTTGCTGTTAATGAGACGAAGAGAGAATTAAGACTCACAACTATTCAACTGTCATCTAATCGCTAACCATCTAGCTTTATGAAAGCTTGCGATGTTGTATTCTCCCCAAAACACGTCCTTGGCTTCTTAACAATACCCTGCGTCAGCGCCACACACCTTTTCTCTTATATTAAATTTCCTCTCGAAAATGCACTAAATCCTTGTCCGTGATAATTTATCAATGTAATGTTGCATAGTTATATGGAAGCATGGAAACAAGTGGGTTATGCTTTCCTGCCAATGGAAATAAATGAACATAAAAGGCGTATGGCAGCGCCTGTCATCTGATGTGCAGTATATAATTACCGGACACTTCAAAATCTGATTGGACACTTTTTGCAGGATATGAAGTCCCTTCGTCTGTTTCACGACTTGTAATTGCGTTGAAATTGGTAATGTAGTTCATATCTCATAAATTCAGTTTGATTCATAAGAAAAATTTGCATAATTTTCTAGTTTTTTTTTTTCGCCGTATATATTAAAAAAGATTCACGGATAAACCTTAAGCCGTACCTATTCATTACTTATGACAGTATTGCAATTGCTTTTGAACGGCCTCTAGTCTGCTATTGGCTGTGTTGGAGGTGATAACATCAGAAACATTAGTTTTCGCAAAGAAAATCGTTTCAAGTTAAATACATTGCCATCAGCTTGCATGTGTTTTTGGCGTATCTGCTTCGTTGGCGATGTACATTTTACATGAAACAAACACTTAAGCTTTTAACTGTAACTTGAAGATCTAAAATCATTTTGAAAGATGCATTTTGAACAAAGGAATTAATTAACATGTTTTTCACGTAGGATAACCAAGCTTGCCAGTCTCTTGATTCCCAGTTATTTTGCGATAAAATAGTTTGGAATAATTACAATGCATCCTTTTCTGCAGGGGAACTAAGACTAACACGCATTTAAAAAGATCTTAAAACGCACAGTCTAACTCAGATGTTTCGAAAAAGGCTTTGAATGGTGCCGGTCTGTCATGAATCAATTTATTTGGCAGCCTGCCAAGCAACGGAAACGGCTATTTATTTTATGCTAAGTTGGTAGTTCTTAACGTCCTGTGGTCATAAACTCAAAACTGAGCCAGGAATGTAAAAATATGAGAAGTTAATTAATAATTTTTCTTTTTTTTAAGGTGGAAATATAAAGGGCAATGAGGATATTTCCTCTAAGATTTTCCTCACTGCGATAACTCTTCACCTGCCATCTTCAAATGTTCCTGTCATAATGTATGTGTTACCAGGTTTGTAAATTGTAGCAGTGTTTTAAGGAGGTGTTAACCGCCTGTTCGGTGAATACAAAGCTTATTTTTACTCTTACGACAAGTTTTGATGTGTTATGTTTTGTTAGCTTAATGGTCTTTAAAAAGTAAGGTATTGGCTGTAATAATAAACTGGGGATTCAGGGAAAAACGTGACCGGGAAATAAGGGGGCGTTCAGACACGTAACGAGCCGTAAAAGCATATTGGGAAAATTGTCAAGATGGCTGTGTCGTCTGGTTTCCATAGCAACCATTTCTGTCTGTTTTACTAGATGTTTTCATGCACAGGCCACCCTAGCTCACTTTGATGGTCGTATCACGTTCAAAGCCGAAAAAAAGTTGTCCTGTTGATCTACCATAATCTTCATGATGGGGATTACCTATTTACTCCACTTATCAAGAGTTCTGTAATTATCAGGCCTGATTTTTGTGTTACGTTATTAATAGAGAGGTTGTTATAATCATGTTTTACGACAACGGGCAAACTTCAATTTGTTCCATGTGACCTGGTCGTTTACTGATCATTCTATCGAAACAAAAATAGGTCGTTCCATGTCAATTTCATCCAAAAGATTAATGTTACACAGTTTTTGTCTTTTCATTTCTAAATTTGAGAAATTGTCAATCTGATTCTGGAGTTTGACGTTTCAGTGCCTAGATTCTAAATCTATTTTTACACCAGTTTCTCAGCCAAGAAAATATTGGTTTCGGTAATGTTCACAAAAGCTGCCTCGGGGCCAAATAGTCTGGAAAATACTTCAGGACTTTGAAACTAATAACATGCATGCAGTTCCTCTAATTGCGCCGGCGCTTAACTATCACGATTGTCAGTCTTTTGGTTTTTAATTACGGCCGTGGCATAGGCGCATTTGCACTGTGGCCTATGGTAATTTACTTTCTCAAAGTAGTAATAAATATAAGTCTGCCATGCTTAGTTTTACAGTGACATGTGGAATGCATGTTTATCAATGTTACTGTCAGACTGTCTGTGCTTATTGTTATTAAAGACTACTACTGAAAAGATTTATTAACGGCAAAATTAAATCGATAGACAAACCATGTTGAGAGCTCAAAAGGCGAAAGCCAGGCCAAATATAAACAAGCTAGAAAGACGGAAAATTATTAAATTGGGAATTTCAAGGAAGATTGAACTGTTTAAGTTTTGTGTTTTTTTCATAACATTGAAACTTCAAAAGTCGCGGCGATTTTCGCTGATGCCACCTGAAGAGTGTTAATAAAGACTGCTTTTGCGGTCCAACCCGACAGTTTTTTTAAAATCGCGGTAATGATAATGGCACTCCAGGTGAAAAAGGTGTTGGTCTTGAAACTCGCCCCACCAAGTGACATTTGGGGAAAAATCCACCGCCAATTTTGCTATTCACCTTCTATTCTTTGCAGATTAAATTTGTCTCCTTTCTGGAAAGGTAGCCATCCAAATTTCTATGTGAAAGAGAGACGAGGAAGTGGGTAACGAAACTGAATATATATAGCTGAGAGAGTCAAAGGGAAAAAAAGAGAGCAAGAAAAAAAAAAAGAATCAATCGGAAATAGATTCGAAAAAAAGCTTACGCGCGGGTGTAAAAAACAAACCAGCAAGAAAAAGCCTACATATTTATATCCGATTAGAAGGAAAAATATGCCCTTAGTGTTGGTCTTTTTAAACCATTTCCAAGTTAACTGGCTAAAAACCGGTTTTTTCGCAGTTCACCAAAAAGTTAAATTCCATGCGTTCAAATTTGTCTACATGGATTAATTTTGTTTATTAATAGGTCTTATGGTTTGCGAGGGAGACTCCTTGACTGGTCTAGGGGAAGCCGTAGTTTTCATAACAAGCGAGTTGCTGTGGACTGGGGATGACCGTTGCAGCGGAACCCAGTCCATTCACGTCTGGCGATCGTCAGGGTTACCTGTTGGCTTTATCAAATATACACCTAATAGTCCATCAGCTAGGGGGGTTGTATGGCTCACTTAAGGGGAACAAACAAAACATGTATAATCTAAATCTTTGAGTAAAAAGCATCACAAAAATGCATGATAGCAAGGATAGAATGGTAGCTTTCACTTTGTAAATCGAATTTTAAATTTGCCCCTTAAACCCTTATTTTGGTCGCCATCTTGGATTTATAAACAAACCTTTGATTTCCTCTTAATTTAAACATACGATTTTTTTAAAGAAGATTTGAACTACTAGGTATCAGAGATATTATTTTAGCATTGTTAAGGTTAGTCAAGATGTGATGACGTCATATATGACGTCACAGTGACCGCCATTTTGCTTTTAAAATTTGCCTATTCAATTGATATCTTAATCATCTAAATAAGAAAATTGCCATTAACCTTAATTAAACACAGCAAGTTCTTCTTTTTCACATTACAAACCTGTTTTGTGCTGCAATGGGCCAATTTGACTTTATCAGGAAAAGGCCAATTCGAAACAAATTGGTAACTTTCTTTAACCCTTTGATAACGGCCGGCGAGTCAGCGAAAAAACCGCATTTTTTCACAAATTCCTCTTGTTTGGATTGGTTTTCGGCTAATTAGCATGGCTAAAAGTATGGCTAAAAATGATTTTGCATCAAAAAAGGCATATTTTCCGATTAATCAGACGTAATTAAACGGCTTTTTTGTTTTTCACGCATGCGCACAAGCCAAAATTTTGACTTTGTTTGCGAATCTATTTCGATCTTTCTCTATCGCTCTATTTTTTTTTCTTTGCCTTTCTTGTTTATTAGAAGTTTGCCTACTTTATCTTCTTTTTTTGTATGGAATTGTGGCTGGCCAACTTTTTAGGAGAGGGAAAATTTATTCTTCAAAGAGTAGCAGATAAACAGCGACATTGGCAGTGGATTTTTCCTCAAAATGTTACCTTTTTTGTGAGTGTAACGTTGTTAGGATTAGTCAGAATATCCAAAAGGAGATATCGCTTGATACCTTTGGTGTCGTTGTTGCTTACAAATTTATTAACTTAAACTGAATGGGTTTAGGAAGGAAAACATGCATGCATCGTTCCATATGGAGTGATAACGACCAAAGCAGTCGTCGAAGGTTTAAGGCCATCGAAATCACAATGCTAGAAGAACATGTTTAGAGTTTTGCAACTTCGTTTTCTAGGGAAAGAAAATCATACCTCTACCAAGAGGCAATAAGGCACAAATAAGAGCAGATAACTTGCTCGGGGGAGGTGAGGGGGGAGGGGTGGGTTGGGTGCACTAAAGGAAAGTCTTGGTAGAGCTGTGCCGCCGAGACCTTCAAACCTCGACGCTGTTTAAGATTCTGACATTGATTATTTTTGTTTTACATTAAGAATCAAATAGTTTTTCAAACTAACATCACGGAAATAGATACATCTGAAAAAAATTATTGGTATTGCAAATGTAAACTGCTTATCGCAAGCCTTCACAGTCTTTTTAAGGCTTCCAACCCAAAAAGACACTGTTCAAGACGCTTTTAAGCGAATTTTCTATTATAATAGAATTTTACCATTAAAATAATAAAATGAACATTAAGAATTTTACTATTAAAATAGTAAAATTCTACACCCTGTTTAATACTCAAGACCTTGCGTTCAACAGCACATACCTGACCTGTATAAGCCAAATAAGGGAGTGCCCCTCCCCCCCTCCTCGAAACGTGCTCCAGAACTTGTTTTAGAACTGACACTGACACTGAACACTGACACTGAACTTGTTTTAAACTGACATCATTCGCATAACACCATTCTTCACTGCTGACATTCGCGTTTGGAAAATTTAACATAAACACAGATTCACATCTACAGCATTTTCTGCTCTAACATCATAAGCTGAAGAAAGGTTCATACGCATGAGTTGCAACTACTCTACCGTAACGTGCCGCCGAGGGGAGCAGAACCATGGTTCTTCTTCACATTGAGGCTTGATAGTTGCTCCCGTAAGTCGAAAAGATGACTCGCATGGCGGCAGATTCTCCATCTTGACCTTCCAGCCTTAAGCTGGGGATGAATCTCGTAGCAGCGCACTATGCCACTTCTTTCCGTACAGTTCACATACGCGTGCCTCCGTATCTTAAATTTAAAGTTCTCATTGGGTACTGATCGCTCTTTCCCGCGATACTCGCCATAACTCGGACGTACCCTCCATTGGCTGGAGAAGCTGGACTGCTTTCCACTTCCCTTTACTAAAGACGGCAGAGATGTTATCACAGCCTGTGTTCGAGTTTACACCTATAAGGGCTCCTCATGAAGCAGTGGTTAACATTGCCTGGGTCAAGCTGCATAGAATGTTCGCGCCTCTTCCCTTTTTCATGTAGCACCTTTTCAAAGTCAAGTTTTTGCTAAGAGCAAGCAGTAGGACAAAGACATCAGTCTCAGTGTCAGTGTATCAGAGTGCATCACACTGTCATTCCTACGCGCATGCCGAGCATACAGAACAATACGCGTATCAGCCTCCTCATCACGGAACTGTACCTCAGGAACTGGGTCTCTGGTCACCATGTGTCTGCCTCTAGTCGCCCGACTGGTCTTCAGTTGTCACACGGGAGTCAATGATCCAGTTGCCGAGTCTGCTTCTAAATGCTTCAGTTTTGCCGTGTCGGGCACAAGGAATTTGTCGATTTCAGTCTACTTGTGTTTGTTGTTGCATCGCAGTAAATCCCTGTATTGTACACTGTCAGCGGTAGACATTATTTTCAGTCTTTTGACATTTTTGATCCTCGTTGATCAACCACTTCGTCTATGCACCTGCTGCGCCAAGTTAGTTACTCTAAGCGACCACATGGAACATAGCTCCAGAGGAGATCTACAACTTCTGTAGCCTGTCGTTTCATCGAAACTGCCGGTTTTGTTCTCGGCTTGCCGGAACTGTCCCAGAAGTGCCATCCAAGCACAAGAGGAAGTACTAGATCCTTGTTGCGAACCTTACGCACAGCCTTCACCTTGGCTTTCTTCACTGGATCAAAGAAAGCATTTGATTGGATGAGCAACGGCTCATTACAAAGTTTTGCGCTGGCTGCTTTCTCTTGCCGGTGGAGTGCAGTTAGTCATCACTTATCTCTGTGTAGACAAGCTTAGCAAGTTGCAAATCTCTCTCGTTGGTGAACTTAGTTCGGCCATTACATTGATTTTGAAGAGACGTGCGGGGAATTCACATTCAGCTGAAACCTCTAATACTGATTCCGGTCATGGAAGCTTGACTGGATAAGGTTGTCCACTCAAGAGGAGACTTTATTCAATACACTTGCAATGTAAACATATGATTTATTTACGTACTCTTTTCTGAAACAATTTTCTAAACCTTGCATTTTTTCTAGTTATTAAACAAATAGCGAACTGCCGGTCTTATTGAGTGACCAATAGCAGGCAATGTTGATTCAATGTTGATTCATAGGCATAGGACCTCAGGTAGTTATAATTTAAGCACTAGAATAAACGGAAGTCATGTTTTTAGTTCAAATATGTTTTAAATCTACGCTAAAACAACGTTTGTTTAAGTTAAAAGAATATAAGCAACTTTTCAGCCTTCCCCACAATTCAAGATGGCGGCCAAAAGGAGATTATGAGGGGCAAATTTCAAAGTGAAAGCTACCGTTTTATCCTTGCTATCATGCATTTTTGTAATGCTTAATAGTTAAAGATTAATATGTGACATGTTTCGGCTGTTCCCCTCGAGTGAGCCATAAACCCAAATTTTCGGCTCTCAGCTGATGGACTATAATTGCAAAAACGTTGTCATGGAAAAAACGAAAAAAGGAAAAGCCAAATAGGAATTAATTAGGCTAATAAGCCTTATGAATTCATTTGCAGCATCCGCACATAGACTTCGTATTTGCCTGTTGGAATTTGCTATTGTTTTAAAACTGAAAAACAATAATAATAAAAAAAACATTCCAGCGGGGAAGTGCAACGGCTGCAAATGAATCCACCCTGAGAATGTGGCTTGATTATCCTCATTAATTCCTATTTGGCTTTTTCCTTTTTTTCATTTTTTAGGACAACGTTACTACAATTAGGTGTATCTAGCCGGATGAATATTTTAAAACGTTACCGCCAAACTTTTTTACCCTCGCCAAGCAAACCTCGAGCTTTCTATTAAAATCAGTCAGGTATAGTGCGGCTAAGCTATGGAATGGCCTCCCCAATGAGGTCAGAGCAAAGCAAAGTTTAGCTGCCTTCAAGAAGGGGCTTAAAAAAGTGCAGATATAATTATTGTAAATAGCAATTAGATTATTGGAAATATAAATGTAATAATTGAATATCATTGTAAATAGAAAATTGTAGATAGAAACCTGTGAATAGTAATATGTAAATATATCCGTGCAAAGTCAGCGGGGTAAATGTTTTTAATATCTCCTCGTTATTAATTTTTATTCAGTTTGAGTTATGTTATACACGATCACATCAGCTACGTACGCTGTAAACTTATCGTGAAAGATGTTGCTGTTGCCAAAAAGACCTCTTTCTGCTCCTTTCTTCTTCCTCGCTCTTAGTATTTTTCCCTTCCTTTTCCTTTGCTAGTGTGATTTTCGAGCTTATCGGGCGTAAAAACCTGCCTCTTCGCGCTTTTTCACTCAAGTGGCTGCAAATTTCGTTGGACTCGTTTTCAAAAATTGAATCGGGTTAGATATGTAAGACGTTCACCAAAGTTTACCAAAGGAAATAAAGGCTTCCCTAAACACTGACACCAGTGTAAGCATTAGTAGTTTCTCTGGGGAAGGTGATTTTTATCGCTTAAACTGATAAGTCTTCCCAGTCTAGACGTTGAAAAATGATAATTAGAGCTGCAATAATGTTATCATTTCAACGTTTCCAAGTGTAAGATGTTACGGTTATTCTGTTGCTATTTTTTTCATTATTATTGTAGTCATTTTCGCTTATTTACAACTGATAGAAGAGATCTGGTTCCTTGCTTTCCAAATTACTTCTGGTAATGTCCTTTTTATCTAAGAAGAATTAACCGCAAAAATCTGGGAGCGGTAACCGTGACTAGAATAAGGAAAAGAATGTTTTTGTATAGAACCAATATCAATATGAATCAATGTAAATGTCATCAGGAGCCGTTACATCAATGTAAATCAAAGTATGAAATAGCGATATGAATTTCAAGATTAATAATCATGACAATTTCAATCAGATTAAGGCGGCATATTCAAGGTCTTATTCCTATGTGAGTACTGGAATTATTGTCCATCCGTTCAAAATTAATTTTCGTAACAATACAATTTGGGTTTCTTAGATTAGAAACCCACATGGATACAGCTGCTAGACCACTGCTTATAATCAGTATAGTATTCTATAAAGGACGGTCACGTGATAATTTTTTTTGGGTGGTGCAGAACAACCAAGCCACTGTAAACAGTATTCCCAATGAAAACTCAGGGGCGGATCCAGGATTTTTTTTAGGAGGGGGTGCACTGGTCTCTTGCTCTACTTCAACACCAATAAACCACATAGTTTTTTTTTTCTGCAGAATACCAGTTGTATTAGAAAACCGCAGGTCATCTCAGGGGGGGGGGGGGGGGCGCCCCCCCCCCCCCCCCCCCCTAAACCCCCCCCCGAAACACCTGCTTCTTCTCCCCTTTTTAATTTTTTCTTTCTTTACTTCCAATAAAGCACCAAAATATTTTTTTTATTGCCACCGCTTAGAACGTGACGCCGTCCTTTTTTGTTTTTGGGGGGGGGGGGGGGGGTGCGCACCCCCTGCACCCTCCCCCTAGATCCGCCCCTGAAACTACTGCTTCTTCGTCTCTTTATAATTGTATCTTTCTGTACATCGAATAGAGCAACATAATATTCTTTTAATCGTCACCGACTATGCAGTGAGCTCGTTCATTTATGCTTCTGATATGTTGTTTTTTACTTTTGGCTGTTTCGATTAAATAATTTTCTGGGCTCGGGATAAATTAATATAAGCCCGGTAGGTGTTAGGAAGAGAACAAGACGATACAATCTAAAATGATATGAATATCTAAAATGACATATTCTCTTTATATTCTATTTGATTAAGGGGAAATTCTTAACTTGAAAAAGTTTTGCCCGAGTTTGTTAATAAGAATTTAAGTAGACCCTTAATTCTCTTAATAATTCTCGGATACGTTCATCGAGCACCGATTACCAAGTGTTGATTGTTGTTCTTCTGAGACTTTTATTCTTTTGAATTTTTAGTATTTCAACTAACACATTCAAATTCTACTCATTATGGCTGCGAATGACATCTGAATTACTTGTACCGCTATGACGAAAATTGAACTTCTTATTAAGCAAAAGCAGATGTCTGGATACTCAGATACAGATACATAAACTATTGAAGATTCTGTTGGATTACCTTCGATTGCAAAAAACCCTCATGTCTAAAATGAATAACTGGTAAGTCTGAACTAAGTTCGATTCTCAAGAGAAATGATCCACATCCATTAGGATTTTATGGGTGTCTTGCCAGTTAGAACGGCCTCCACATGGCTTTAAACTAGACAAATCACCCTAGAGGAAAAGTCCTCTATATGGTAGAGCAAGGTGAATCTAAGACCGGCCGAGGGGGTATGTTAAACCGTTTATCCTTAAACCGAATCCGGGTATCGATTACCGAGAAACGCTAGTATTGGAAGTAAAAAGAGTCATCAGAAGAGAAATAGGAAGTATTTGTTTTAAGTGCAGGCCTCAACTGGTTTCCCTTATACTTATAAGCTGGACAGTAATTTATCCAGTGGATAGCGCTATCCAACGTTTAAACAACCGTGGCCTGAACGATTTCATTTAAAGGCGTATTTGTATGAAAGTACTACATTCGTGGCTTAGTCAAATGTGTCAGTATTGAAGTGTCAGGTCCCATACAACAGTTATAGCTTAATCAACGTATTAGACTGACTTTCAATGACTTAATGTTGAATCAATATAACATACAGAATTCACAACTATCACGGTATTAAAATACGACTCCTTACAATGACTGGGTCAGCACACGTCGGATTCATCTACATAGCATCTTTTAAATTCAGTTGTTTACTAGTATGGAATTTTTAACATTATATAATCTGAAGTGACTCCATACAACATTACTTTTGAACCTCTTAACACTGACCAAAATGCTCGAGTCCAGTTTTTCATGATTGAGAATTTCACAGCTATCAAGATCAAGTAATTGCTTTTTTCAACTGAAGATAAACATCGCAGCGGAGTTTTGTCTTTCCGTTGCATATTTAGCAAATCATATAATAACACTCGACCATAGAATGTAAAGGGAAATTTATGTTATAAATGCCAATTTTGGTTGGAAAAAAAAAGCGTTAAGCCAACTCGATTAGTCTCTGCTGGACTGAAACTTTTTCGGCCAATTTTTGTTCAGTTTGGTTCTAACCGGTGGCTATAATTATAAATAAAAGTAACCGAAGCAGGTTGACAAGAGCACCTGTCTCGTCCGGGAAAATTACCTTTGTTTTGCTTGATTGTAATGTTTTAAAAAATTAAACTAAAAGCTGAATCGATAGTAATTGTCCTACAGTTAACGCTCTCGTCTTCAATAATTAGAAATAAATCTTCACCGTCGACACTTATTTTTCACTGAACTCGAAGAATCGAAGTTTCACTGCCTAGTGAAAGATCAGATTGCCTTTGTTTGAATAAATATTTTCAAGTTCAGGGGAAACGATTTGCCCGTTCCGGATTTGTGGTGTGCGAAGCCGTTCTAGTCATTTTTAAATCGGAGCATGGTCAGTCTGATCATTATTAATTTTTGGCTAAATCTTTACTAGTTTTGAGGACAGCACCAAATCGTCAGATAAAGATACTGCACCAAGTCCGAAATTCAACAACCTTTTTAGCGAGGTCGAGAAGGAAAGTGATGGTGGAACAATCGAAAGGCTTAAAGAGTTCTGTGGTTATACTACAGCTCACGGACTGGGGCGACTTGTGGACAGCAAAAGCTATATTCGCAGATTGTTCTGGGTGATGGCGTGTCTGGGGGCCTTTACCATGTTTACCAGTCAAGTAATATCTTTGGCTGAACAATATTTGAGCAAGCCAGTGGAAACCTATATCACCATGAAATACGTCAGGGTAAGGACTTGGTTTGACATTTTAAAAAGCTATGGGCGAATATTCCTTAGCAGGCATTTGTGAGGGAGAGGATGGAGAATAGACCCTTCCACAATTTTCTTCAGCTTTTAATATGGAGAAGTTAGAGAAAATTTGTCAACGTCGCTAAAAGGAGCGCCTTTTATTTTAGTAAACTGCCAAGTTTAAAAGTCTCCTTAAAGTCGCGAAATTTTACAGACATTTGTATGGGGTGGGGGGGACAAATGTTTGTCACAAATTTTCTTGCAGAGCTATATCTTCGCTCGCTTAGGGCGTATCACTTTCAAACGTGGCAAGTTTACTAATTTTAGGGCGCTCTTTGCAGTGGTGCCGAAGGATTTTTCTATAAACTGGTCCACGTCAAAAGTTGAAAAAATTCGTGGAAGGTGAGTCTGTCCCACTTTGTCTTCCGCTTTGGCAAAAGCCTGCCACACAAACAAGTTAGCTCTAAAGCACCGTATTTGCTCGAAACCTGGTAAAACATCCTCGTTTCGTGGGCGTCGTGTGTGCCGCATTTGTTAGGTTTGGTTTTGCCCCGAGCCGTCGGCGTAAACATGTTAAGGCCAACCCCAATGTATTGATATTTCAAAGGTGTATTGGCATGGATAAGTTCCTCTTAAGGGAAATAAAATAAATAGATTCACTAAAATGTAGCTTTTGTATTTGTGTCAGAATATTAATTTTCCAGTGGTGACAGTTTGCAATCAAAACGCCATTCGCCGAAGCATACTATATTCTAACAACACCGAAATCCTACAAGAGCAGCTGAAAAATTTACTTAATGGATCGAAAGGTTAGCTCAAGGAAGTGTTAATTATCAGAATATTACCATCTGTATTATATATATTTTTACTAATTACATCGAAATTAAGCTCTGTTGTTCTTGTGAATAACTTATTATTGTAGAGCTAAGTAAGGGAGAGACCTCAGCCTAAAGTAATTTTGTAGCTTCCCCATGTAATTGTGGAACGGCTTAATGTTTATTGACCAGAATCGTTTTAGCCTCTTTAAACTCCTAGCCACAAATTCAAGCTGAATTTATTTGCTAAAAGTAGCCTTGTCAGCAAATATGGATTTTAGTCTTGCTTCTTTAAAATTTTCTCAACCAATATTGTACAGTATAAGGCTCACTGTTTGTACCGTTTGTCGCAGTTAAAATGCAATATTTTTCAGGAGAAAAGCTTACTGATTTATCATCGTCGAAGTCAAAAAAGAAAGTGAGAAGAGACATCCCTCGAAACCTCAGCAAAATTGGCGAAGAAATATCAGAGAGTATCATTAGCCCATCGAGCACGCATGCGCCTTTGATGGGATCAATCTCCACAACATCTTCACCCAAAATAAACGAAACAAATTTAGATGAGACAAGAAAGAAGAATAAAAAGAAAACGAAGACAAAAAAAACGAAGGGAAATAAAACAGACGAAGATACTAAGGCGAATGGAGAAGGTACGTGAAATTCGCTTAGGGCATTTATTGGAGAGGATTACGGTGTATAATCATCAAAGGTATAGAAAAAAGGAGTCAGAATACATGGCTTAAGCGAGCACCATTTGATTCCCATGCTGGTTAATAATTAGCCAACGTGACATAAGCAGTTGAGTTAATGAATCCGGAAATAAGTGGTGTTCTAAATATTGCTCGCTTTAAAATGTTCATATCCTAAAAAATTAACTTTATGCCATCTTACTCTGTAGGAGCTCCGCTTTTAGGCTTCGCTATGTGATAAATTTATGTTGTATCGACGTTAAACAAAGGTCGCCGTTAGGTCGCGGAGTAATGTATATAATTGGTTGCTTTACTAACTCTGTCTTAGGACTGCTAAAGACAAATACATGCAGATCGAAATACAGATTTAAAGATAGAAAATCCTAAGACAGTTTAATGCAACCAATCAGAAACACGATCTTAGCAGCCGTGGTCCTTTTGTTTTAGATCTTTGCTCCCGACGGGCACAGTCTGATAATCGCTCATTGCGTGGGAGTCGAGTCAGAAGTGTCTTACGATTTTCTTCCTTTGAAAATTGTCTTATATCGTTTACAGAGATGTCTGATTTTGTGGCGAAGCAAGAACGTGTTCAAGTAGCCCTAGCTACCTGGTCTGAAGACAAACTAACTAAAATGGGACATCAGTTTAAGGACATGTTCCGAGAGTGCACTTACAGAGGAAAATCATGCATGTAAGTTTTGATCCTCCGTCTGTTTCGTAGTGCAAGAAGTGTTCATACCTTTACACTGCCGTACATTGCTGAAGCCACGAAGTTTTCAGAAACCTCAATAGTTTTACTAGCTTTTGTTTTTAAGGCTACGTAAGGACATTGTCTGTAAATTGATCTGTTGTATCTTTGGCTAATAAAACAACTCCGGCCTTTTAGAGTTGAAAGTTCAAACAGTCTGAACAGTTTGTTACTGTTTTGTTATAACCAAAAGTTAATGTTTCTTAGTGGTGTTGAAGGAAAGATTTTTGTATCATTTTTGTCTGTTCATAGCTATAGATACTAGTTGTAAATTTGAGAATATTAAAAGTGAATGAGTGAGGACATGATAATCTACTTGTGGTGATCAGCTTATTGGACCGGGCCTCCCAGGTTTAGCCAATTGAACCGACCTTTGTTTTTTTTAAACTGTATATTATAAGCTTCATGTTTCTTTCTTAGGAAAAGTCGGTTTTGGGACTCATTTTGGCATTATAAATATGGAAACTGTTTCACTTTTAACAAGTATAGCGATCTTAAGGCTGCTGGCCCAGGGCCTGCTTACGGTAAGATCCTTACATCTCCATTACTAACTTGTGTTTAGATAAATAGTTCTCGACTAATAGATAGCAATAAAAACATACAGCATCTGTTATTACACCGAAATAACAAATTAAAGTACAAATAGTGCGCAGGGGTAAAGAGGTTCATTTTAGAACTGATACATCGAGCTTCCCTGTCAGCCCGCCAAACATATAAACCACAGCACTTGTTGCATTCTTGGATGCATCTACTTCTATAATGTTTGTATTGGTTACGACTCTAGCAGTTTTCAGACGCGCTGTCCCTCGCGCTCTTCCGTCGCTCGCCCTGATGGTATACATTAAATACAAACAAACTAGGTCTTAATGCAAAACAAAAAAAAATAAAAAAATAAAAAAACAAAACACTAAAACTAACAAAAACAAAATAACCACAGCAATAACAAGCATAAAATGTATCAATAGACCGAATATTAAAATGGATCTCTTTTGCAAGTTTTCTGGCACATTTACCTGTATTGAGTTCAAAGACAGTCATTCATGCGTAATATTTTTGTGCAGCTTTTTAACCTTTTTTTCCTCTAGGTTTGGTGCTGGAAATGAACGTCGAGCAAAACGAATATCTTGGAGATTTGACTCAGGATGCTGGCATTCGAGTTCAGATCGAGGACAAGGGAAAAGTCCCATTCCCTTACGAGAAAGGGTTTAGCGTGGGGCCTGGGTCTGCAACCTCGGTAGGAATAAGAAAGGTCAGCCATGATAAAGAAACCACCCTTTTAGTTTATAACATGTATATTTGAAATAACTGTATTTTATTTTGCCACGATGAAATTATGATTGTTCCTTCTTCTTTGTTACTTTTAGGTGAAAATTATGCGCGTCAAAACTTCTAAGAAAGGGAGTTGCATTGGAGAAATAGACCCATTGAGCGAAGACAATCTTCTTCAGCTTAAACACAATGCATCCTACTCCACAACCGTAAGTAACTGAAGTATGTAGGTACGAAAATCGGCCCCTGATTGAAGGACAAACTGTTAACCATAACGATTTTAGTTCTGCGGTTGGTCTTTTCCATATTTACGCAAGGGGTTTGGTAGATGCAAGTGTGGGCATTAAAAATGAAGAAATTAAATTAAAAATCCTAGGCAAGGCAAGAAATCTTGCTTCGTGGGCTAAAATGACAACAAATCTCAAATTAAATGCAGCGACGTCGCCCCTGCCTTGTTCTAGACAACAGAGCTTGGGCCACAGTAGCTTGTGAGAGGTTATAGAAGGCCTTCACTACAATAGCTGCCACGTGAGTTGCATTTAGCAACACAGGTTGTTACAACCGATATAAAAGAGTACAGCTGCGCCCAGTCAAACGTTTTGTTTATGCTTCATTGAATGGAAATGTCCCACGTCTGGGTATGTATACAACTGAGCCATGGACGTCAAATAACTGTCCTCTTTAAATACTACGGATATGTACAGGCGGAGAGTAAAATTTTGATGAAGAGTTTTGAGAAAAATCTCCATGCCTAAAATTATTTCTTTTGCGAGATGCCACTTTTGGCAAACTCGTTGTTTTCATTAGTTTCCCCCCTTCAGTTGATGAACGTAAAAACTAGGGATAACTTGATCAGTGTCGTTAAAAACACACTTTTGGCCGGATAAACGAACTAGTATAGTTCACTCTTTCAGTATGAGATAAGCCTGTAATGCAATAGAAATGCGCTTTAATACCATTTAATAAAAAATTTACGAATTTTTGTGTATATATACTTGGTTAGGCTTGTAGAGAAAGCTGTCTTTCTGATAAGGAAAATGAAAAGTGTGGCTGCCGAGAATACCGATTTCCTAGAGATGACAGTAAGAACGAGCGCGTTTGTGACGTTCTCAATGCGACCGTTGGTAGGTGAAACATAAAGTTATTTAATCGATTTGCCAGCCTCAGTTTAGCCAACTTTTTTTTAACGTTTAACAGTCTCTTAATATTCTTACAAGTTTGCAAGTGGAAAATACTTTGCTCGGGCATTACAATTAATCCAAATACAAATTTGAATTTGGATTTATCGGCGAGGGAGGAGCTGAGTATACTATTGTATCCGGAACCTGTTGTTGAAGATGTATCGAGACAATACAGCGCACACCTTATGCTAATATGTTACTTTGCAGCAAAATGCTTGAATAAAGTCCTAAAAAGATACAAAAAGTCAAACTTGGGCTGCAGTCGAAAGTGCACCTCACCTTGCAAGTAAGTCTAACTTTTCAATTTTGCTCAACCGGAAACCAAAAAGTAGCTTACTTGTAGCGAGTATTAGAGCAATTATTGGGTAAGAGTAATTGCAGATTCACGACAGGGGCGTAGCCAGGGTTTTTCAAAGGGGGGGGGGGGGGGGGGGGGTCACAGAGGCTACTCACCAGATCACCATCCAGGGATCGCCGACTATATATGGTTTATACCGCTGCTGCCCCTCTTGTATCAGCGGGCTCAGTCGTATTATCGCGGCATGATGACGAAAATACTTTACAAAAACACAAATTTTAAAAAAGTGGGCTTTTCAACAATGGCTTTTACGGCCAAGATATTGTCATGGCGTTTTCGCGACCTGAATATTGTAGGTTGTTTGCTCAAAAGAAGGCCTACGGGGGGGGTCACGGGCACACCAGGACCCCCCCCCTAGCTACGCCCATGCACCAGCCAGAGGGTGTAAAATCTGCCGAAGCCGATCGAAGGACTAGATAAAGGGATTTTTTTGCCCCGTTCTTCGAAAAGTAATAGCCGTTCTTCGATTAAATTTTTGCAGCCTTATTATTTATATTAATTTTCTTGCAGTGAGAATGTTTATAAACTAACCATATCAACATCGAAATTCCCTTCTTTGGCTTACCAGGTAACAAAGTTTAATTTTATTTACGTTAGTCTTGAGGTCTGGGGCCGATCTGAAGCCAACCGCTGGTACTATATTGTGTTAATTGATTGCAACTGTAAGTGTTGTATTTTGGAGAACATTTACCCGATATCTTTTCCACGCTTAATCATCTTAAGTCTGGATATGCTGTAAACCAGACTATAGAGACGAAAGTTTTCTTGCACATTTTGCGTCAAACTTTCTAATTCAGATTTTAATTGTGATATATCATGGTAATTTGAACACTTCATCCAATGTCTCTGTTTACACTAATGGTCGTAATCGGAGTCGTAAGAGCGACGGAATCGGAGTCAGAAGAATCAGAACGTTTCCATTTCCTTCCGACTCCACTTTAATACGACTCCGTCGCTTACGTTCTGCCGATGATCTAGTGAAAACTAGATTGTCGGAGTTGGAAGCAGAAGTGGAAGGATAAACCAATCACAAGCACGTTTCAACGCTTTGTGATTAGTTTAGTTCTTCCGCTTCTGCTTCTGACTCGGACTACCCATGCATTTTTCACTTGATCGTAAACGAGGGAGTCGTAAGCGGAATCAGCAGAAGCAGAACGCTGATTTCACTAGATCGTAACTTAAAGTTCTACGCTTTGGATTGCGACTCCGTCTCCAACGCCTTCACTAGTGGAAACCAGCCTTTAGAAACAGCTGACTGAAGATCACGTTCAGCAAGTTGTCGCCCAATGTAAGTCTATCCGGCAAATTTTTGCTTGTGGAATACGTTATCTTGGGAATTCATTTCAAGGAATCCGGAATCCCGCTAACGATTTGAATCTGGAATCCAGTTTCTGGAATCCGGAATCCAGGGGCCTCGTTTTTCAAAGGTCCCGTCAACTTTTCGAGCTTGGGAACTGTGTTATTGTTTAACAGGTTTTGGACCCGAATACTTACCGGACCTTTCGAGAAACGGACCCCAGGGGAGAGGGTGGAATACAGAATCCAATTACATGGGGATGAAGTTAAGTCAAAAAAATTTTAGTATCACGGAATGGAAGTTGCATGAAAACACTTGTAACAAAGTCAGTGTAAGTTCGGGTAAAACGCTGAATTAAGTAGACGTTAAGTTTATTAATCACAGAAATATTGGTTAGCGGCATATACACTTTTTGTTACAAACTAGGTATTTCGATGCACCTTCCCTGATACTTGCAATATTTCTAGTTAACTTGATGAACGTGAAATTCAGTCAGATGAGGCTGTAAGATGTATCCTGTAGGGACTAGCACCAAGTGTCCGTCCCATTGAGCTTTTCGCTCTGGGTCATTCAGATAATTGAATGAAGAAGAATGTGGCAAGGAACAACTTTAGGGAGTCTATCCCAAAGCTTTTGTCAAGCAAGTCACCATTGGGGGCTCCCCTTAAGAAAGTTGTCGACTTCCTACAATATCGGTTTCTGAATCCTTCCTTGTGTGTAAAATCTAGATATCTGAGAAACAGGTCCAGCCTTGTTCCCAAGGTTTTTCCCTCAAAATGGGAGCCATCAGAAAAAGCCCTCATTTTAAACGAAACGCACAAGGAACGACGTTGAAATAGGTCAACCTTGATAAGAATGAAGCCTTTCTTACTGAGGGCGAGTTTACAAATGTCTATGAATGGAGCTCTGGGTTGGTTTTTTCTAAAGTCTCTAGTACGGGTGTTCATAACCGCTTAATAGAGTTCTCCGTTACAGAGAGATTTGGCTCGATTGCTTACTTCAGTTTCTTTTTTGATGGTGTACAGAGAATTCTCCTTGCTAACAAGAAAAAACTGGAGAAAAGAAACATACCCTCTAACCTGTTAAGGTATGCATAACACGCATGGAAAGTGTTCTTTTAAATTGCACCCTTAAGAGGGAAATTCCTAACTACAGCACTGTGGCTATGTGAAAAGTCATTCTTCGTATAATCTCCTGCGTCCCTGATCGAGAAGAAAAAATCTCTTTGAAGACCGTGTATTGTGCACCTGATGTGTGTAGTTTTAGCAACTCACTTATTGCGGAGCTCCACGCGCCCACGAAGCCCCATAGATAATTAAGGAACGTTGGTTAACTATCCATTCAAGAAATTTGGGTAGTCACGTGACCGTACGTCCGACCTTCCGTCCGTCCTTCTGTCCGTACCACTGGGAAACCGATGCGAAATGTTAGTGTGGGAGTCTGCAACCTGATGTTGTACGTCCACATTGTAATCATTTGACAGCTGTCAAATTAGGGCAGACGCTGACTAGAATCAGATGACCGTACCGCAGGATCAGGTGTCGACCCAGCGAGGTTACGTGTTTTTTTTAAGTTCCCCTCTGACAAGTTCCTAGTTTTTACCAGATCGCAGGCTCAACTTCAGGTGGATTTCTTTGCACTTTGCAGTGGTTACAAGTTTATTGTAAACTGATAAACGGTAGGGTCGTTGTGTAAGACGTTTCGTAATCAAGAATTTTTGGATCAGCTATTGAAAAGCCACGCCCTTAAATGCTATTGGCTCAAGACTTAGTTACTACTCTCACACTTTTTTTTCAGCTCGTATTTACTTCAGCTTAATGTTTTTTTTGAAGAACTGAATTATGAAGTGATCGAAGAACGTATTGGATATGGGGTAAGCTACCTGGAGGTCGTAAAGTGGCATTAAAGGGGTCATGTCACGAGAATATTGTTGTTTTAGGTCAAATCGAAGGGTGCTTAAGTCATTACATAGAACCTAAACCCAAACAGAAAAATTCTCTTGATGAGTTATGAAGAATATATCAAACAAATTTCATCAGGGAGCATTAAAATATCATTTTTTGGTGATTTTTGCAGACAAGAGAGAATGATGGGAATTGACCTGAAAAATTAAAGTTTCAATCCAAGTTCATCCTTGCCATCCGTGGCAATAGGCGACAGAAAACTGTTTCACTTCCTAAATATAAGCTTATAAATAACAAAAGACAAGTTAAGCTTTTAAAGAGGTTGTAGCAAACCTGGTCATTTGAAACTGAGCATGTTGGACTTTCTTCCAGCTCTGTACGTTATCTGAACAGTAATAAGGCAACGTCCGTAAAGCTTGGTTAACCCTTTAAACCCTAAGAGTGATATGGCAGCGTCAAATTTCAGGGTGGTCATGAGAATTACGGACATGATCACACAAGATGAATCTTCTCCCCTCAACTTCTATAGTAAAAGAATAGTGGAAAAAAATGAGAATTTGTATTTGATATTAGGGTTGAAAGGGTTAACTCTCTCTAACTCAATTCAGTAACTGACTGCAGTTTGCCTTTGATGGTGAGCCCTTGCTGTGAGCTGCGGGGCTATTCAGTGAAAATAAAAAGCGAGCTTACGCTTTATGGCAAATTCAAATATCTCGCTTGGATCGTTGAAACCCCATTTATTATAAAACAGGTTACCTGGCCTAACTAAGGATGCCTGATAGCGTCTATTTTTTACTGTTTTAGCTGGTGAATTTTATAGCAGACATTGGAGGCAACGTGGGTATCTGGATTGGCGTTTCTGCTCTGACGATCGCAGAAATTCTGGAATTGCTGTGCATTATAATTCATCACGTGATCAAGACTTGCACTCATCGAACCAGCAAGATCCTGGCTATCACGTAAAAAGGGAACTATTCCAGCCTCGAACAGTATTTTAGATAACACATGCTTCGAAACTCTCGCACTATGTGTAAAAACAGTGTATAATTTATGTAACGCGTTGAAGTTCTAAGTCACACTGAAATTATGCTTTATAGGAGGATCTCATTGGGGTGGCAGCTTTGACGGTTGATGGTTTTTTTTTCCAGTTTTGATTCTTGATGGTTAAATTTTAGAGCTTTCGATGTTTGACGGTTATTTAGTGGAAATTTAGTCCAAGAGTTTAAGTCAATATTAACTTCTGTATAAATTATAAATTGATATTAACTGTTGTGTTTTAGAAATCTTTGGAGGTTGTCTTGTTCTTTCACATGTATAACATTTCGAAATATTTTCAGATATAAGCAAGTTGTAAGGTCTTGTTTTGTCTAGAGTAAGTGTTGAGAAAATGTCAACTGGTTTTTCCGCTTTATAGATTCTTCAGGAGACAGAAGTCCGTGAAATGATCAGTCTGCTGAAATAGTGAGATTTTATATACCTTGAAACTCTTTGGCGGTTTATACCACTACATGAGAAATTTCTGCAATTTGATTGGCTTAGAGCAGTGGTATTTCAGCTAAATTTGAAATACCTACTTGCGAAAATTACAAAACCTTTGCAGGTAGTAGTATAAACAAATAATAGCATGATTTGTACGTGATATTTGGCATAAATACCACTCGTGATATTTCAAAATTGTCACAAATTTCACTCGCCTAACGGCTCGTGAAATTACGTATAACAATTTCGAAATACCACTCGCGGTATTTATGCCAAATATCACTACTAATCATGCTATTACCTATACTAATATTAATTTGCATTCTCAATGGTTGACGGAAGAATTTTAAGCCAGTTGACGGCTGACTGCTCCATTGAGAACCGCCTATAATGCAATATAGTAATCCAACTTTGCTACAGTACGAGTTCATACATGAGATTACACACTGGCAGATACACTAAAGGGGCATACTTTTTTTTGCTTCTAGAATCATTTTTTTAAAACCTTATGAGCTCGAGAGGGGAAGCAGGGTTGATTTAACCCAAAGGGGAATCGCCCCAGGTTATATCCTCGTTTTAGGCGTCTCGGGTCTGTCTTAGACGTTTAAATTTACACGGCTGAGAAAATGACAGCTGAAATGAGCGAGAAAAATAGGTTTTTTCTCATTAGCATTAGATTAAGCACATGTTGCGATCGAAGTTTGTAACAGGTCTTATTGTGTCTGATTTTAAATCCTACACTATAACCTCTGCTTGCACATTATGTAAATACAACTTTCACTGTGAGTCATGAGTAATTTGCACATCATGATTTGTTGAATGTAACAATTTGTCTACGGTTGAATAAAACATAACATAACATAAGACTTTATTTATACTCGAATTTTAGAGTAGCTAACAAGCTAATATCTTTGAGCTGACACTACATAAAAAATGCCAATTTAAGCGGCAAAATGATTACACATTTAGACTAACTTTGTTAATAATAATAATAATAATAATGATAATAATAATAATAATAAAGGTCTTTATTAATAATTTATTGCGCAAACAGACGTACAGCAATTTACGTGGCAATAAAATGAATAAAGGAAAGCGAAACAATACATAAGGAAAACGACTAAATAAATATTAGATACTAGTAGAGAGACATGTATGAATAAAAACTGATTTAAAACGACTTGTCCAGACCTTAGGTAGAATATAATTATGCGACCTAGTTCTCATCTGCCGTGTTCTCTGTGGAGGTAAAAGATCGCTCAACGCAGTGTTTGTGGAAGAGATCCCTCGCCATAACTTCATATCTCTATTACGTCGAATGCCCAAGATACTGTGCTTCTTTAAGAAATAACCTAACTTATAACACCTAGCAAAGAGCTTAACAATTCTACTTAAATATTTACTATAAAAAGCGCACCCCCAGACCTCAATAGCATATGTGAAGACTGAAAGGATCAAACTTTGAAAAAGTAAGTCCAAATTCCCAATAGAGTAGCCATAATATTTACATATTCTTATAATATACAACTTACTGTTAGCCATACTAAGTAAATAGTCAATATGAGTGTCCCAATTTACTAGCACTTGCTCAAAGGTTAAACGCCCAACAGTTTCAGTTTCTCTCTCCTCCCTATGATCCCGAGTGGTTCAGGAGGCTTCCTGGTAGTCATCCCTCGTAAACGCAGTTCCCATGTTTTTGTCAAATTGACTTTCATGCACTTGTTCTCGGATCATTCAATAAAGGATAAGACTTCCGTCTCAGACTCATCTAAGCCTACATTTGCCTCAATCGGCAAGCTAACAGTTATGTCATCTGCAAATCTAACTAGAAGATTCTTATTAGTATTAACAGCTTTGATATCGTTGATAAAAATAGAAAAGAAGACCGGCCCCAGGACTGTACCTTGAGGAACACTCCTATTTATAGAAACATATTTAGTACGGTAACCATCGACAACAACTCTCTGCTTTCTCTGATCTAAAAAGCTAATAAACCAATTAATAATATATAATAATATGTTCACCCAGTGTCGGTTATAAAAAAGAAGAAGAAGAAGAAAAAGAAAAAAGAAAAACTGACAAGGTCGCTCCAGAAAGCACTTTGACCAAGTTCCTACTTTCCTATAATTTTTTTCTTAACTGATTGAATAATGAAAATTTATGGTACTCATCCTTTGTTATCTATCTTTTAACGGAGCACGAGCAAGAAGGAATTCTAGATGAAAGAGGCTGGAGAAAATGCCCACAACACCAAACTTTCCTGTCAGAGTGACGTCACGCACAGCCTTTAAAATGATGCAACGCGCTGTTAAATTTGTTCGTAAACAGGAAAAGTTTTATATCTTCTAGTCGTTGCATGTCATTAAAACAATTTGTTTGATTGTTTATTTTTAGTCAAATGACATTTTAATTGAAAAACAGGGGCAACTACTAGTACTCTTTTAACCCTTGTTATATCACCGATCATATTCTCCACACTGCTTCCTATACGTTATCGATGGTAGATTTGAGAGAATTTGTTTCAAAAATCAAGGTTTTTTTCACTTGTTTTACATTGTCTAATAATTAATACATCTTTATTCCGTGAGCAACTCTTTCTTTACTAAAATGGAGCCTTTTTATTGTCTCCATAGTCTCCGTTTATTAACGTTTCCTATTAACAGCAAATGAGCCCAACAAAAATTCCGAAATACTAACAAGTCTAAAAATGTCAGTGTCTATTCAAATGGCACTGATGATCAGTACACTGAACAAGATGGCTCTTAGTGTTGAGATGAACAACTAACCTGTGTCCATGTAAATGCACTTAAATGTGGAACGGCGTATTCAATACTGCCGTGCTAAAGGTATTAAATTTTGTTTCTGTTTGTGATAACAGTAAATGCCATCATCTGAATAATACAGTACCTCTAATTTGTTCTTCTTTGTATGCTCAGTATTTTGCACCTTGGTTACTTATATTCTAGAGTAGTTTGGAAATAAACGTTGTTAAAATCGTTGTAAATTGTCTTCTTTCTGTGGCTTCACCTCCCTAATGTGAGATTTCTTCTTCTTAAGCGTCTTCACGATTGTAGCAGTAATGGTTGCAGTGAGCTCCAATACCTCCACCACCGTTAACACAGAGATGCCGATCCACATTCCCATTAAACCACCGATGTCAGACCAAAAGCTATTCACCTGTTAAAAAAGAAAAGTATTATGGTATTGGAGGGCATTGAATAAATGGATGTTGGGTGCCCAGTGGCTAAAGGGGCCGTCGACATTTATGCCTATTTTTCGAAAAGGCATTGAAGTGTCTTGCATGCAAGGCCTACTTGCTTACCCCAGACATTCTGCCGTGGTGTTTTCTGGCTGGTACTCTTCTGGGAGAATTACGATGGTTCGATTTTGCCCTTAGCTTTTCCGCCTAGCGGACGATTTAGTGCAAGATTATTTTTCTCAAACCCCAGGCCAGTTGCTCAAACGTTGGATAGCGCTATCCACACATCGCGGACGGATAACTTTGTCGTTACTAATAACTAATATAGACTCGATCAACCTGGAGCCCATAAAGTGGGCGAGTAACTTCTATGTAGTTGTGTCACGGTGTTTTCAAGGAAAAGTTAATTTTTAGAACGATTTTGGCGCGAGGCGGAGTTTGAATGTTTTAACTGCTCCGATAGCCGCCGGTAGCCTAGTAAACATTTTACCCGGCCCTTCCTATGTGTAAACAGACCCTTTATTCGCTTTACTAAGCCCAATGTTATTGGTGAGGGCAAGGTTCTTCAAAGCTGGGTTAAGATAACCCAGGGTTAGTGCGAAATTAGAATTCGAAAATGTGAGCTTAAAAGTAAATTCAGTTCAATTATTTTTGCCTACAATTCATGAGAAGATGCTCTAAACAAAGAATAGAGGAAAATGCTTTTGAACAATTTTAACAACAGGTAAAAAAAAAAAAAAAAAACCAGCTTAAAACTCAATTTATCCTGGATTTTCCCTAATCGACCTTCGAACAACTGAGCCCTACCTGGTTCCTTTTTTTTTGATACTGATAATAGCTGCCCTCTGCTCAGGCGGTTTGGAACGAGAGGCAGTATTTACATTGTTACAATTGTACCGAGCCTACCAAGATACTTCATAAATTATCTAACTATTTCTAGACTTTTAACATTATGTTTTGGTATAATCATTATTATCGTATGGAAAGAGCCATTAAGATTTGAGCCGCCGACACGCCTTACCGAGTAAGCTGCCTCTTCCTCGATTAGTTCATAGTTTAATTCTCCATAGTAAATCTTCAACTTGAGAAAATAATCTCTATGGGACAAAGAACAAATAAATCAATTACCGAGTTTCACACTTACACACAGAGCGCACTTTGGTAGGACACTGGTGTTGTAAACATGGCGGAGTATTAAAGAATTGACGTTTGTACATTTATGTGAAAAGCTTTTGTTTGTTTTGTAACTTTTCATCGCTGAATAACCATTGAAATTTAGTTTAATTGCTATGAAAACAGCTGTCATCATCATCATCAGTATCATTATCATCATCATTATCTTCATTATCATCACTATCAATTATCAATATCAATATTAATATATAATATTAATACATAATATCATTATGCTTAATACCTCTTATTACCCGAGTTTTCGGTCCATACTGTAAATTACCGACCGAGTTTTTTCCATCGATTTATGGACTAAGGGCGAACTCATCCATAGTGATTTTCTTAAGGGTTTCAGAGGAAATCATGATCTCATCCACAGGTATTTCTCATGGGGCTTCAATTTTTTTTAACTCATCCGTCGGTATTTCTAAGGGGGCTAGGATTAACCTTACTTCTGAAAGACTACAAAAAAGGAACATCATCCATGGTAGGGGTTGGTGTATATTAGATGGAAGGGCCCCAGATGCGCTCGGTAAGCTTATGTTTGTTATCTTATTTGTCGCTCGTTTGCTCTTGGGCAAAACATCTCGCATCTCTGCCCGTCGATTTACATCTTCTTAACTGTGTACTGCGATGAAATTTTCAAACACTGACTAGAGTGCTCTTCTTCGATAAGATTACAATTCAGTTTCTTCATCGCCCTCGCTCACATATAAACACAGGTTAAAATGTTGAAGTTCTCATGGTTGACAGACGTCTTACAAATTTCTTTAAACCTTTTTTCGAGATAGAGCAGCGATAAGCATTTGCTTATGAGATTTGGTCCGTATAGCAAGTTACATACTTAACCATAAAATAATAATGATAATAATAATAATTGTTGTTGTTGTTGTTACGTGATGATAATAATGATTCTGATTATGACTGCTGGTGATGATGATGATTATTTAATAATTATTGAATAAGGCTGAGTATGATGCAAAGAATTATGTAGATCAGAGGATACAGCCTCCAAGATCAGCCTCCCTGTACTATTTCTGTCTTTTATCGGATATCTCCAAAATCTTCCAAATTTTGTCATCGCTAGTTGGCTTTGAAGAATTAGCAAGGTGATTCAGCCAACCAGAAACGGAGAAAACTTTTGAATGAATATTAACTAGTACTATCTTACCCAACGTCTCCCCTGTTCTCAGTTATATTAGGAACGTGCCGTTCTAATTCACCAAGGAGAGAAGTCTGAAAATTAAAGTAAAAAAAAAAGAAAGACTTCAGGGTTATTGAATCCATTTTAAGATTATCGCAGGAACATTCGGAATAACAAGAGTCACACTGGAAAAAATTAACATGGCATTATATCAATTTAGACCTGATTCCCTCTTTTTTTGTGAATCTCCTGGTCCCATTGCAATTGACCACTTCAGAAAACACCATAACATATCATAATGCTCTTTCTTTGTCACTCCAAAATTTTGCATAAGTATTGTTTTCAGTTTCTCTTGGGGCCATTTTAACTCCCAAGAGAAACTGAAGACAATGCTTATGCAAAATTCGGGGTGACAAAGAGCATTATGGTATGTTATGGTATTTTCTGCAGTGGTCAATATCAGTGTTGATAAGATCTTGGTAGTGATGACGTCAGTAGAAACAGACACCGCTTCTCTTGAATTTTTCAGAAAATTCTTGAGATTTACTCCTCACACTTTTGTACTCACTGTAATGTGCCCTCTCCCTCCCCAATGTTGAGCCACGTGTATTATGCAGCACTGAGACCACTGTAATACTCAAATCAACATTGGGAAAGAGGAAACGCACAGAAGTGTTTCAAAATTGATTGACTGATTATTGATTGACGAGGATTGTAGGTTAGTGGTATGTTTCTATATTAACTTTCTGACTACAGAGGACGTATTTACAATGACACTTTAGAGTTAATTAGTCAAGGAAAGAGATTTAATCTATACCAGGTATTGTCTTGAAGGCCACCTTGCCATCGAAACTGATGACTTGAACTCGTCTTCCCTTCATTGAGGAGAAATGGAGAACATCATGAAAAGCAACAATAATTATAACAGGATTCCGGAATCCAAGAAAATTTTGCGTGTGGAATCCAGATTCCTGGGCTTTGGAATTCGGAATTCGGCTCAAGGAGTCCGGAATCCCTCTGTAACGATTGGAGTCCGGAATCCAGAATCCAAGACTTTCCTGTTTTACCTTACATGGAGCAATTCTTAATGCACAATAATAGCAAAAAAAAGCTTAAAATTTAAAAGAAAAATTGAGGTGGATTAGTAAGAGAAACTTGCTATAAAAAGGAAAGAGTTAAAGTTTAACGTTCAAATAAAGCCTGGTTTCCATAGAATCGATACGACCACTTGTACGATCATTTACTTGTCAAACTCATAGGTGCGGCAGTAATTTTCCCTGGGGACCATCCCGCTGGCCAAAGAGCCAGAGGACTCTAGACACGAGAGTGAACCGCAGCGATCGTTGCGGTTGCAAAGACGCAACGCTCAATACAATACAATACAATATTTGTTTCACTGAGCCTAACGATTGTGGCGATGGAAACCAACCTTCTCTCAATGGACAGAGTTTTACCTGCATTGTTCTTTGCACTGGTTGTTGCAAGCACCGTCATGAAATTTGTCGACCACTTCATTGACGCAAACCACTGCAAAAAGAAGAAAAATTCCTGTTACACTAATTTAGGTTTTTTTCTTTTTTAAGTGAATTTTTTCTTTCTTAAAACACTCGCTTAAAGCAAATATCTGAATGACCTAAAACAGTTGTTAGCAGATTATTAACGGGCGGAACGCACAAGGCGAGGAATGTTTTTGTTGCGGAATAGCTGTTGGGCTCTAAAATTAACCCTGTTCAAGTCACATGATTACTACTTGAGTGCCCAGAAGATTTGGATGTTGTAAAATAACCGATAGTTGAGACATGGGATTAAAATTATTTGTGCGTGTCAAATAAGATTTGAGAATTCCCATTCTGAACCTGTTTCAACAGTGTTAAGGTCAACAAACAGACCCTAGAGCATAAAGTAAATTGCTCATACCATGCCGCATGAGAGAAACAAGAATAGATTTCAAATAATTTTCATAAAAAGAGGGCCAAACTTGGGGTAATCACTTTCTTATTCTTACATGACCTCTCTTTTTGCACAAAGCTAACGCCCCAAATCGTGGAATACACCGCAAACCACAAACATTAGAACATAAAAAATTAAGTATACACGCATAGTTAAATCAGTCTATATATGTGCAAAGGGGCTTACCAACTGTCATATTTTCAATGTCACATACAGGAATGCCCAGGTCATAGCTTATCGAGTACCAAACGCAGCCACACCTCTCATTCATCAACTCAGCAAAGCACGACATCTTGCAAAGCTGATTAGATAAAGTAACAATTTTTGTCCAGTGAAACTTCCCTTTACCGATATCAAATGTTGCGTTAATTTTTGTTTTGTTTTGTTTAGCAATGTTTAACGAATTATAAATTAAATTTAAGTACATACACCTATAAAAGATAATAACTTCTTACAGAAAAAACCTTCTTGGATGACACTGAAATATTTAAAATATATTGAAAACACTTAAAAACTCTAGCTGAGAAAAATGTTGACACTACTAGCTTAATTGATTAATTCGTCCATTACGTTTTTACGTACTTTTTTAAAATGACAATGACACAATCGAACTCAAGGTGGAACTCTGTAATTAATCCTAGAGATATCTCCAAGGCTGACTTACCATGGAGGTGTAGGTCACATTGTACCGTCTAAAAATGTTATGCCCTTCTATCAGTTCATCACCAGTTTTTATGCAGCTTCTATTTTCAAATGGATCGAGCCTTCCAATTGCAACCTATGCATCCAAGACAGCAAGAATATGAAAAGATGAGACAAAAATGATCTCACTGTCCAATGAGTTCTGAAGGTGAACCCGTGCCATTATAATCATTAACGCATGTTCTCAGACCTGCATGAAACGGCCCGCCCCATGTAAGAGAATCCGGAATCCGGATTCCGGATTCCTTGAAATTTTTACAGGTTAATCCGGAATCCACTGATAAAGACTACAATAGAATCCAGTACCCAGAATCCGGAATCCACGGCATTGAATCCAGAATCCAAGACTGTCTTGGATTGCCTTAAATGAGACGAAACGTCTGTTTGCGCAAAGGAAAAAACGTTTCCCATCAGTTCAAGGAAAAAATGGTTAGGACCGATTCAAACGTTGCGCTACTACCTAGATGCCAAGCTGGCTTTATTTTAACACGACTTTGTTTCGGGACGTGGAATAAAATTCAGTGGAATAAAATATTTAACAATTATTGGAAGAGGTTGCGCAAAATATCGTGATTTGTCAGTGGTGAGGAGATCAATTATTTACCGAAGCAAATCACGATACATATTGCGATCGATAACTGAGTTTAATAATTGTTTTATCATTCGATCACCGAGTTTGTTTTTAATGAATATCTTTGGGAAGCAAAGCGATTTTCCATTTTCTCTCGAGAGCGATTGCAAGAAGGAGAAAAGCATAGTTTTTATTCACGCATAAGCAGAATATTATTTGCAGCCAAACACAGTTGGACGTGGTGGGGCCTCGGCCTTGAAAAGGAAGAAAAATCTGCTTGGAATGATAATTTTATATAGCTGTTGTCGAAGACAAAACATAAAAATATTAATAAGTCAGTTTAAAAAATTTCTGGGTAAGAGTTAAGTCAGTGGTCATTTATCTCTAGCTACAGCGAGATGGTTTGCCTTAAACAGACCTCTTATAAGTAGGCACCATATATTTTACGGACACACTGAAATAGCATTTTCCCGATATTTTCTGTTTTATTGATTCTTTGATCGAGTATCGAAATAAGGTAGTAAATCAGTCTATGATGGCAAAAGTGAAACAAGCTACACGGATACATACATACACTGTTTACAGGTAGTCATTACGACACCTGAAGGAGGAAGGAGGATCATGAGTTAAAGATCTCTCCTTACAGATAAACCACCAAGCCCAGGAAAGGTTGGCCACGCCATCTGACCGGTCTACGTCCCCTAATCTTTTGGAATAGTGGTTTGGGTTCTTTCACTTCCCACAAAAAATAGATGTGAAGATGTGAAAACTAGTGCTGCGAGAAGGGACCAAAGGTTTTTCGTCCCTCCAAGCTCTACTGTGCTCTCTTATGGCTGGTGAGGGTCTTATTGTTTTGCGTTTACCTTTCGAAGCTCAATTGCCGTAGAAAAACCGGGAGAAACACTTATTCCTTGTTCATAAGGGAAGGGCATTTCTCTCTGTCCTCCGATAAAAACTCTTATGCCGGCCTCTTGTGAAAGCACACTCACATAATCCAACTGTTCGATGTTTATTTCTAAGGTTAGCCCTGCAGAAAAATAAATAAATAAACTTGCCATGTAGCCTGTCAAGTTGTGAGATGTTCTTGAGGTAACCAACTTTATTAAAAACTGAATCATTGGTTAATGCAATTCTATAGCTCTGATTAGTTTAGCCATTATGGTATATGAGCCATTATACCATGCTCTCCAAATATGGTAACTATACGCGTCTGCTCAAAATTAAAAACAAGCTGAAAATCCGTTGCTTTTATAAATAAAGTCGGGAAGAACTCGCTATTTTTTGGGCGTTTTTAATAAAACAATTATTCCACTCGCACTTGTTGGATATGAGATGATTATAACCATCCACCATCTCATATCCAAAGCACACTCTTGGAATAATTATTAAATATTGCAAAAATACGAAATTATATGTAGCTCCACCTCAGTAGCTCCTAGTGCCATGGCTGAGGTTAAGAAGGAAAATGAAGGATATTCAATTAGGAAGTGATCAAAATTTACATCGATCTCGACCTTCGCTTGAATTCAGCACCGATATGCAATATCTAACTTCAAAATCTAAAATAAAAGTCTGTTGTAAGAATTTTAGTCAGTTACCAAGGCCAGCCTGTGACGAATTCATCACTTCTATGGTTTCACCCACATCATTTATTCCTTTGTTGAACGTATAACAGTTGCCATATAGCTTATGCCAGAAATGTGTCCATGAGTTGCGCATGTCTTCTTCCCTGAAAATAATGGTGAATAGTAGTATAAAAGAGTCAGAACCCTCACATTGTCTTTTTATTTGGAAAAACCCTTCAACTGTGACAATCCCTAATTAGAGGCTTAAAGCACGTCCAATAGGCCATTTCCGAGTTTCCCCGGGCCTCTGTTTCAAAACGAGGGTAGGTCCTCAGCCTTTGATACGGTGATCATTTTTCATTCTCATGCAAATAAAACTCATTTTCAAAAGAAAGGTTGTGCACCTAGCCTCCTTTTGAAAGTGACGGAAGTGGCCTATTATGTCTGAAGATTGGTTTTAATGGGTGACTTGCAACTTCAATGTACGTAGACATGATGTCGTGATTTCAAAACTTTTGCTATTTTGGATCCGTCATCATGGGTCTTTTAGAATATCTTAATTCTCTTAAAATGCCAAACGGGGTCGAAATTGACTAAGATTTATAAGACTTTGTTCAATGAAAGTAACACGTTAAAGCCTGAATTCCAAATTTGGAATAATTCATTCTAGTGCAAACACATTTTCATAGTTTATCGCTCTATCTGTACTGTCAGTCTTCAATCAACCCAACAATTCGAATCAGTCCTTTTTCCACCCTAGAAGGTTTGAGTGTCACTCCATTATACTCACAAGCAGTCTATGTAGTTGAAGACGCAGCCTATAATCATGTCGTCCAGTTGATGCCCATAGTTGATAAGTTTCTCTTCAGGAATTTTGGCAAGACTTGTTAAAACTCTTTCAATAAGACCGTCTTTTTCTGGAAGATCGTTAACGTTTGGGAGGCCCTTTGCGTTGCTATTGGCCCTTGAACTCCTTGACGTAGTTTTGTTCAACCGTTTAAGTAATGCTATTAAAACATAAGATAAGGAAAACTTATCAATTGTCCAGAAAACTGAAAAGGAAAAGCCTGAGGCAGAGTGGATAATATGCATGTTCGTTTTGCTGGGTCTAAAGAAAATAATTCCATTATGTTAAAGACACTCCCAGTTACTGTGTAGGTGCATGGCTAGCGTTCTGTACATAGCAACCTTTCCTCTAGTTTCCACTCTTTTAATGCTAACCTCTTAATTTCTTTAAAAAAATGAAGGCTATAGCCAGTTCTCCTTAATAAAATTTACTATTTTATGCATTAAAAGAAACTTATTGCCTGAAGTCTTATTTACACTACCGGAATTCAGAATGTCCGCAAGGCAGCTAGCACTTTCATATATTATTACCATGATACCATTTTCATTCTGGTTTCTTAAGTATTTCGATTCCATGCCTGTTGTGGGCGCCATTACAATCAGTCATTGTTGTCTCTAAGAGAGAACAAACAGTGGATCTAGGAAAGAGAGTTCGGAGGATTTGGAGCCCCTAAATGACCTAAATGCATCCACCTGAGTGACCAAAAAGGATTTTTATTTTCTATAACTAAACTCAGCAATTTTGACGTTAGCTAGAAATAAGGTGTAACGGCCAGGGTCGGGTTGCAAAAAACATCTTAAGATTAAGGGAACTCGTAACTATTATTTCAAAACGATAGGTTATTGTTCCAGAACAAAAGTTAAGAGCCCTCTTATCTTAAGAGGGTTTTATGCAACCGGGCCCAGAACCGGTGGAGAAATAAGCTGTAAATTGGCTGTAAAAATTTATAAACAAAGCACAATATCTGCGACTAATTTTCAATTATAGAACGAGATAACTTACACTCGTCCAGTAATTCAGGATATTCTTGCAGTATTTCATTTGGAAATTTTGACTTGCGAATCATGTTAATGTTACAAATAGTGACTTGAGGAAAGGAAAGTTTCTGCAAGGAAAAGCAACTAATGTATTAATGCATTTTCAATTACAGAGATTTAACAAAACATGACGTCACGTGACACTATACTTGCTCTGCCTAGCCAGCGTCGCGCACGGGCGGCCAAAACCCAAGGGAAAAAAGAGAAAGGATTTTGAGCGAGAAATAGCCTGCAAAGCAGACGTATTTTGCAGTGTTAGTGATGATACTGTTCGGCTCTCCCGCCTTCTTGAACGTTGAACAGTGATCGAGAGTTGGGGCGAGTCAAAAATTGATTCCAAGGGAGAGTACACGGGTTGCTTTGAAGGTGGTGGCCTCGTGGCCACGAGCAATGTAATGAACTTTCGTTTAAAAAAAAGGCCTGAATTCCAGGCTTCTTTCCTTTTCCCTCTCACTTTGCTGCCTTTCCTCTCCCTTTATGTGCTTGCAACTGGAGACCTAACTCTGTGTGTCTTCCTCTGTGCCAACAGTTCCGCAGCGAGTCAGTTTTGTGCCTTATCACATTATGCTAGATGTTTCTAAGTTGAAAGAGGACGATATAATAACATAACACGCGTATTTTCCTCTTTAAAAATTTCAATCTTTATTTTCCCAAAAGAGGACCAGGGTTTAACCACGCCCCCGACTGTCCCATCTGAAAGAACATTCTCTCTTGCTCAAAGCCAATACCAATCACACATTAACGAGCCATACCTTATCATGCATGATTTTAATTCTTGTTTTCAAAGGTCGTGATAAGTACTGCTCCGTGATAAAGTACAGCTGCACACTGAAGGCCACAAATGCACCACAACAGGCTAACAACCAGAACCATTTTCGGGCCCGCGAATCACCGGCATCGGCCACACGTCCATAGCCATGCGCAGTAGTGTGACCACAGAATTCAGAAACCTTGTGTTTTATCTGACTTAATAATATTTTTCTTGGTGATGTGGACATTGATCCTCAATTTTACCTGCGCTTTTTTAAAAAAGGTAGTATTTAAAATATTATTAACAGAAAAGAATCGTCAGTTGTAATTTTTTAGTTAAATTTGTAATATTATTTTTTGCAAATATCTTAAGCGTATATTTTCTTCAGTATTTGGAGAGTGTCAATTTCAAGGATATGATTTGTGGCAAATATGGTTGAAAGCGCTTCTTTAAAACACTTTCTATGCGTTCAATTAGTCACAGACTATTTTTAATTTAGATGGAAGACAAAATGTTTGAATGGAGTAATAAAGTAATGGTTTTGAAAATGGGGTTAAAAGTTGGAACTCAGCTATATATATATTATCTGAACCACATATAGCCCAACAATAGCCGAGAATAATCCACAGCTACATTTTTGACTGGAGAACATGTAAAAAAGTAGCCAGAGAAAAAAGCCGACATTACTCGACGTCACCACTGGTTTTCCCGCGAAATGACATCTGAGAAACGAGCGCAGAAATACCATACTGTCGACTCAACACAACCCAGTTCTTGGTAAAGCTTTTGAAACATTCCAAACAATCATTCCAACAGTCGACTGTTTTCTCAGGTTGATAGAAAAGTGGAATATATTTGAAGAAGAGCCTAGAGTGCTGCTGTCAAACATTGTCAGGGAAGAAAAATTTTTGTTACTGAGGGATTCCTTATAACATCAAAATGAAACAGGAGTCCACCTGGTATCACCTTGAAGGGTCACGTCAATCATGAAAAAGTCTAGCCCTTGGCCTTATACCGCGCGGTCAATGCGTTTAGAGTCCGTTCGAGTAGTCTGTATCGGCTACGTCACCGAAATACATCGACCGACAAGGCCTGAAAAGACGCCACACGGGGGCTAGGCAATAACCCTCATCACGGGCNATGGAGTAATAAAGCAATGGTTTTGAAAATGGGGTTAAAAGTTGGAACTCAGCTATATATATATTATCTGAACCACATATAGCCTAACAATAGCCGAGAATAATCCACAGCTACATTTTTGACTGGAGAACATGTAAAAAAGTAGCCAGAGAAAAAAGCCGACATTACTCGACGTCACCACTGGTTTTCCCGCGAAATGACATCTGAGAAACGAGCGCAGAAATACCATACTGTCGACTCAACACAACCCAGTTCTTGGTAAAGCTTTTGAAACATTCCAAACAATCATTCCAACAGTCGACTGTTTTCTCAGGTTGATAGAAAAGTGGAATATATTTGAAGAAGAGCCTAGAGTGCTGCTGTCAAACATTGTCAGGGAAGAAAAATTTTTGTTACTGAGGGATTCCTTATAACATCAAAATGAAACAGGAGTCCACCTGGTATCACCTTGAAGGGTCACGTCAATCATGAAAAAGTCTAGCCCTTGGCCTTATACCGCGCGGTCAATGCGTTTAGAGTCCGTTCGAGTAGTCTGTATCGGCTACGTCACCGAAATACATCGACCGACAAGGCCTGAAAAGACGCCACACGGGGGCTAGGCAATAACCCTCATCACGGGCGGCCCGAGCTCTACACGTGGTTTCATATTGCGTAATCCTTAAAATGGCCGTGAACATAAAGGATTTGTATGGGAATTCAGGTAAAAAATTCAAGAAGATAAATACTCGCTAGAATTTTCAATAAAATACACCTTACCTTATTTACTTTACTTGTTTTTACTGCCTGTGTGGTTATATTATTTTCCCGATCCATTGCGATTTAATCGATTTCCTTTAACCCCAAGTTTCCACTCTAAGAGAAAGGACAAGGCTATACATTCCAGTTCTGGATGCCTGATGCTAAGGCGAAAAATCCTTAGCTTAAAATGTCCAAGCAGCCACAAACCCAACGCCAAAAACAAGCTAACATGACCTTGTTTCATTTCACCTCATTAGCCAAGCAATCTGGCCACTGCAACCGACGTCCTCTATGTTCAGTATGTTCGCGGTCGATTTTAAGGATTACTCAATATGAAACCACATGTATTAATAATTAAACTCTTATACAGAGCTTGGGCCGCCTGTGCTGTCATAGATGACATTGGTCACCGCGTGCGTCAGGTTATTAATAGATTCATTTGTTCGCTCCAAAAAACTATTTGCGTATCAAAGGAGAATAGGAAAAAGAGTATTAGAAAAGGAGGGGTGTAAACAAAATCATTTGTTGTGAGCGGGGAAAAATAAGGACTTTTGAACGAAGAAAAAATGCGAAAAAAGAAACTCATACAAAGTCAGGTTTGTTCTCGTTGCGGGTGGATTTAATTAATTTTTATGATAGCAAAAGTACCATGCTGTGGTTGCTTGTAGACAAATATTATGTAATCGTCAGACGCGGAACAAATTTGTCAATATTTGGCTAAAACTACTCTTTGCCAACGATCCATAACTCCATCACTGACTCGGACTGTAAAATTAATGAAGGTAAAGTGTTGTGGGGGGGGGGAAATGTTAGCCAACGTATAAATGAGAAATTGCCGGCTGCTGGCCGGGGATTGCGTCGCTACTATTTCTTTCATCATTTTAGGGTCATAAAAAGAGGCTAACTGTAGAAGAACATAAATCTGTAGTTGTCTTAAATAAGCCCTATATCTGCTGGCAGAAATCTCCTTTTTCAAAACTACAAGCTAAAAGGCTTTGAATTTACAGACATTTTCCATACCGGGTAAAACGAACGGCGTATAAGTCCCGCTGTTATTAGAATTTAGGGCAGCAGTTTCTTGAATATAACCCCTGAAAAAATTTTTCACCTCGCACTAAAATATCCTTTTGAGGGACTCTCAATAGATGTGATTCCTGGAGCCTGTTTCGCGAAGGTCCCGGTGACTTTTCGGGCCCAGAAAACTGCAGAGCTTTGTTTTTGCAGCTTTTACATTGGGATTAAAGTTTCAATAGTTTTGAAAATAGTAAAATTAAACACTGGCAATCAGTTCAAGAAGCACTGGGAACTGTGTTACTATTCAACAGGTTTGGATTTTGAAATTTGTCTTCGGGCTCGAAAAGTCTCCGGGGCTTTCGAGAAATGAACCCCTGGCCAATTAAGGTCAGTGTCGAACCTGAGCGAGTTATGCGAAATTGTGGAAACTTCTACAGTCGCAGGTGGTTCTATAGACTGTTATTATCTATGATTATCGCGGAATACAAATGACATATTTTATACCACTAAAAATGTTTTCTACTTCACCAACTTAGGAAACTATGCTCTTTGTGTTTAATTCGCCTGCTTTTCAAACTAGAGGATAAATTTAGTATGTTTCCGACGCAATCGTGACACCAACGCCGAGGAATACACCACAGTTACGTTAAATTTACTAAACTGAAAAATAGTTATCTCGATCTTTTAAACCTAGAAAAACGTAGTCTGATGAAGCTCAAAATAGGCATTGAGATAAAAACGGAAAAGTAAACATCTGTTTAAGAATCGAAACTTGACTTAAACTCGCCCACTTAATATTGTTAAAAGTTTAGAGTTTTACTTGGAGTGCACTAATTGAAAGCAGAGAAATGCACCAAAATATGAAACGCGCGGCACTGTTTTCAAAGAATGGTATTTTAGATTATGATTAGATCAATATTCGGGGTTGGAATTGAAGTTTTTGGTTCAGGGGAAAACGTGTCTACTTAAAAGGAAACTTTAATTTTAGAANCCTGTTTCGCGAAGGTCCCGGTGACTTTTCGGGCCCAGAAAACTGCAGAGCTTTGTTTTTGAAGCTTTTACATTGGGATTAAAGTTTCAATAGTTTTGAAAATAGTAAAATTAAACACTGGCAATCAGTTCAAGAAGCACTGGGAACTGTGTTACTATTCAACAGGTTTGGATTTTGAAATTTGTCTTCGGGCTCGAAAAGTCTCCGGGGCTTTCGAGAAATGAACCCCTGGCCAATTAAGGTCAGTGTCGAACCTGAGCGAGTTATGCGAAATTGTGGAAACTTCTACAGTCGCAGGTGGTTCTATAGACTGTTATTATCTATGATTATCGCGGAATACAAATGACATATTTTATACCACTAAAAATGTTTTCTACTTCACCAACTTAGGAAACTATGCTCTTTGTGTTTAATTCGCCTGCTTTTCAAACTAGAGGATAAATTTAGTATGTTTCCGACGCAATCGTGACACCAACGCCGAGGAATACACCACAGTTACGTTAAATTTACTAAACTGAAAAATAGTTATCTCGATCTTTTAAACCTAGAAAAACGTAGTCTGATGAAGCTCAAAATAGGCATTGAGATAAAAACGGAAAAGTAAACATCTGTTTAAGAATCGAAACTTGACTTAAACTCGCCCACTTAATATTGTTAAAAGTTTAGAGTTTTACTTGGAGTGCACTAATTGAAAGCAGAGAAATGCACCAAAATATGAAACGCGCGGCACTGTTTTCAAAGAATGGTATTTTAGATTATGATTAGATCAATATTCGGGGTTGGAATTGAAGTTTTTGGTTCAGGGGAAAACGTGTCTACTTAAAAGGAAACTTTAATTTTAGAAGAGTCGTTTTATTCGAAAAGAGCTAACAAATTACCCACCTAAAAGTGAAATTTCATTTGCAAAAAGTATGCAAAATTGAACTATATTCATTAAAGTATCCTCTTTACTTTCTGAAAATGGCCTTTAGTTGAAGAATGGCGCGAATTAGTCTGACTGGTCTTAACACCCTTCTCTTTATCTTATCTTAACCTTCAGTTCTCACCTTATAGCCGTGACCAACACTAACAATTTTTTTTTTCTCTTAATTGAGAACTGATTATAAATACGTGCAGTGGCTATGACTGGA